AATAAAAATAGGGAGAGAGAGAAATAGGATAGAGAGGATCTGGGTGTGTGTGATTGTTCAGCTATCCGGCGACGCTCTCTATCATGGACCTACATATATGTGGACGAAGTAGATAGAAGGTGCTGTCGTAGTGTATTTTGCATTGATCCCCATAAATAGGTGTTAATTCGATATTCAGTTTCCTTTTTCAAACACAAAAAAAAACACACTTCATCAGAAGTATGTCCTGACAGACATGTACAGTTCAACTGAGTGTCTTAACTTGGGATGCGAAGGGTAGTAATGCTAGTCGTCTTAATTGGCGTCTTGATTTCTTCCGGAGCATCGCTTGTCCACAGCGTTAAGTTGTCTCGAATTGATTGCAAGATGAGTGTGCTGTCTTTGTACGACTCTTCGCTGATCGTGTCCAGTTCCGCAATGGCATCGTCAAAAGCCAGTTTGGCGAGCTGGTAGGCACGATCTGGCGCGTTGAAGATGTCATAATAGAAAATGGAGAAGTTGAGGACAAGGCCAAGCCGAATGGGATCGGTCGATGTCAGATTTTTCTTAGCAATGTTGAGAGCTTCGTCGTAGGCTCGTTGCGATTCTTTGATCATTTTCTGTCGCTCGTCATCTGTGGCAATCTCCGCCAAATAGCGGTAGCTATCACCTTTCATCTTCCTGTAGAATACTTTTGATTCCGCCGTGGTCGCTTTTGGAATGAGGAACTCATCGAGCAGGGTCAAGACTTCGTGGCAAATGTCTTTCAGCTCTTTTTCGAGTTTTTTTTGTTGAAGTTTGGAAGCTACAGTTTTCTGTTCGATTCTATGGATGACTTGCCACGATGCACGACGAGGACCGAGGACATTATTGTAAGCCACTGAGAACAAGTTTCTTTCCTCGTGTGTTAACTCCACTTTTCTCGACATAACCACTTTTTTCATCGCGGCGAACATGTTGTCATAGTTGTCACTTTGTTCGGCGAGCTTGGTCACCTGAACTTCTTCTTTGCCGTTGAATATGATGACTGGATTCTCGTCGCTGCCAACCTATTCAGTACGATTTTATTCAGAGAAGATTTTCTCATTTACCCGTTTCCTATACAACTCTTTTGAGGAATACCCCATTCGATTGAACTTCGAACGCTAAACTGGTCAAAATGTTCAGATATTTAAACAAGATTGTCTGCCGAGTCCACATAGACGACAACGTATCTCGAAAAACGGTATTCCCATACTATTCGTTTCAAAATACAATTGTCAGTCAGTGAATGCTTACTAACTCCAGGGCACAATCAGCTAGCGAGAAACGGTTTTGACCATCAGTGCCGTCGCCAAAGGGGACGGGGTCATAACTCCTCCCCATATACGAAAAATTTGTCGTTTTCTCCAGCGGAGTTTGGAAATTATTTCGAGCACCCCCAAAATATCGGTCTGCCCCGTACTTTGAACTTTATACGATTTGAGCAACGGCATTTCGAAATTTCGTTCCTCCAAGCGTATGAAGTTGAATTTTACTAAACATACGTATTTCAACATGCTCGGAAATCTGAGATACACGAGAACCCTCTATGAGAAATTTCAACGCAGGTCTTTGTAAAAAAAAAAAGCTTTTGAAACGTTATAATCCCTATCCTAGTGCCGTGACCCTATGAAAACCAACATTTTTTAAACAGATTCGAAATTCGGTAAAAGGTGAAAACAAAATTGAAAGTTCATACAAGGGGCACCTTTTGAAAATTTGACGGCTGTTGACCAAGGATATGTGGGAAGTTGTGTTTTTCAGCGAGAAAAAGCAGTTTTGGCAGAAGGTGGTGTCTTTCATCAGCTCAATTGTTTTCAAACTAGTGCTGACGTTGACCAGCATTGCTCTACTCCACACAGACGACTTAGTAAATTGTCGTGTTGTCTATCAGATGTGACTGCTGTCATAAATAGCAAACATATTGTACCTATCATTCTCTTATCTTTCTTCTCGCCCGTACACATATAAACTGCTTGAAGATCTCCCAGTCAATAAAGAAATAAAGCAAAACGAATACACTATCAATTTAGAGCACCTTACCGGTGCTTACCGGTCATTACCAGCACCTACTGGCGCCGTTTTGCCTACCATCATTCTACCGCTCAGAACACCGATCTGTGGGAAAACCTTTGCCAGACCAGTCAGTCGCCAGTACTGATTGCATCTATAAAGCTGATGACTTCGAAAAAGACATTTTGAAAGATTCTTCTACGGCGTCTCAGAATTTGAAACTGATTTGCTCCAAATAGTTTGTCGTTCTTTTCGTCCTGCGTTTTTGGCAAACTTAGAAAATTTCGACTTTTGACTTTTCTGCAAGAATCAAAACTGTACCACCTCGTTTACATCCGGAGTGTCGCTCGTCCACAGCGCTAGGTTGTCTCGAATTGATTGCATGATGAGTGTGCTGTCTTTGTACGAGTCTTCGTTAAGTGTGTCCAGTTCCGCAATCGCATCGTCAAAAGCCACTTTGCCGACCTGACAGGCATGATCTGGCGAGTTCAAAATCTCGTAACAGAAAATGGAGAAGTTGAGGGCAAGACCAAGCCGAGTTGGATGAGTTGACGGCAAGTTTTCGTTGGCAATGTCGAGAGCTTCGTTATAGGCTCGCTGCGATTCGCTGATCATTTTCTGACGCTCATCACTTGTGGTCACTTCCGCCAAATAGCGGTAGCTATCGCCTTTCATCTTCTGGAAGAATACCTTCGATTCGGACGTGCTCGCCTTCGGAATGAGAAACTTATCGAGCAATGTCAAGATTTCATAGCAAGTGTCACTTAGCTCCATTTCGATTTTTTGCAGCTGCTGCTTGATGGCCGCGTTCGCGGTGTCTTTCAGTACGTTTTTGGAAGTCACTCGCCATGCTGATCGGCAGGCGTCGATGACTTTCTCGTAGGCCACCGAAAACAAATTTCTCTCTTCGTTGGTGAACTCCGCTTTCTTCAACATAGCCACATTTTTCATTGCATCAGCCATATCATTATAGCGTTCGGCCTGTTCGGCGAGCTTGGCCATCTGTAATCCATCTGCCTCGTTTGAGATTACTGCTGCATTCTTGTTGCTCGTAACCTATTCGTTACAGACTTCTTTATATATTAGAATATTTACAAACGATCTCGTGAGTTATTGAGGTATGGAATTCGCGAACAAATGACAAATAATGACTACGGGGTGGACGGACAACAAAAAATGAAGTCATCCTTACATTGGTAAAACTGAGCCGGAGCCTTAAGTTATGAAAGGATCCGGCCGGATAAGGATCGAAATCTGCTCCCTCTTGAATTTATTTCTAATATATGCAGTTCGAAAGTCCACATTTTTCTACACATTTCTCCTTGTTAGATTTCGTTTTCTACTTTGACAGTCTATAGATATAGATGTTAATTTGGGTATTGGTGTTAGAAGTTATCGTCATGCGCTATATTCGCATTGTACTCATCAAATCTTTTCTGATCGCTGACTGTTATTGATATTTTATACCATGGATATATGCACTCTTTTCTTCAGCACTACAAAAGTTATGTTTAATTTTACCGTGTATTTCAAGGAAAAGCCTGTAATTTTGTTCTACACTGCGATACCACGTGAAAAACGAGCAATTATAAACAGAAGAAGGACAAACAAAATGTTCACTTACATAGGACGATTGGCTTGATTTTTTCGAGGTAGTAAGATCTAAATATGTGTTCATAGTGTAGCAGTAAGTTGAGAATAGCTATGTTAGTCGTGTGTTGACAAAAATTTTATGCCTCAGTACTATCACAGCTATTTACAGTTATGTTCCACTTCTTCTATGTTCTCTCTTCAACTTCTGTATGACCTAGTTAATCACTTTGCACCGAACTTGTGTGTATCGCACTCTTCTCTCGCGTGACCCCTTCTCACGCACTGTTCCAAAGAGGAAAAGACTGATTTTGGATTCTGAAGATGGTTTGAGATTTCTAAAGATTTCTACATTTATCATTGTCATAAGTTCTCTCAATGCTTCGGCATTCGGTTATTGGGACAAATCCAGTTCTGTGCAAATAAAGAATAAAGATTGGTTTAGAAAATGCGCTTCGGTGTTTAGCTTTTGAAATGTTTCAGAATGAATCAACGTTCATGTAGAATGACTTGAATTTTGTATACGTGTTGGGTCAAAAGTCACTTTATCGGAAAGAAAATTGAATGGCTTCTTTACGGCTCGAGCAAACAAGCTGATCTTTTTACCAAAGATAGAGGCATGTTCATACTCTAAATCCATATGGACAACATTAGTGAGAGCCTTTGTTAAATATATTGTTTTTTTCCTATCTGTGGAAAAGTAAACTTTTTCTGTTGAGGTCAATAGTGATACTTGACCAAAGGTCTTTCTAAGCATGTCCTTATGTATACAAAGCTTGAGCATGTCTCTATCATTGATAAAAAATCAACTCGTGATGAAGATATTCAATTTTTTTCGATAAAGTGACTTGTGGCCCACTCTGTACTTCTTTCGAATCGGGTATGGGAATGGGTGATAGAAACAGTGAGCCACACCTGCGCCTACCTCATAAGTAAATTAGAACTAATTAGTTACTGTGGCAGATCTAGACAAACGGAAAAGAATATTTTGTGTAGGTTTTCTGGATGTGTTGCACATTTAATTAAATAAAATGGTGCGTTCATTTTTTTTCGCGAATAGATTTCGTCATTCTCTCATCTTAATCTAAATTACACTATACGTAGACGGAATCGAATATTGTAGAGAAAAAAGAAGAATATCTCTAGTTCAAGATTCTTGAAGTAGAATAATTGTGTTTCTTACCATTAATTTCGTCGCTTGTTTCACTGCAAGAAGCAGAATGTCAAATTTTATTTAGAACATTTATTTTTACGTACGATTCATCAGTATCGATCTTCAAATTGTGCGCTTCACATAGTTGTTTCAATGCTTGTCGTTCTTCTGACGTTGCATTTTTCATTTCAATCATTATATCTATATTGATTTTTTCGAATGAAATTTGAAATTCGAGTTCAATTTACATACCATTTCGCATTTTATCTTCGATTTGATTTGCTTTTTCCGGTTCATTGAATGAATAATGATACGCACGTATGATTGTCATCATCATATCAAATTTTGCATCGTCACCTGATCGATAAGAAATTTTTTCACAAAACTTTTCAATATCGACAATCGAATCTTTTTTGCTTAAAATCGATGCACTTTCGAGTGAAATACGTGCATTAATCAATTTCTGTTTAATCGATGTTAAATGTGACATATCACCATCCCATCCAATATATGGAAGCAAGTCGATATCACGATCGACCATTACATTAACAAGACGAACGCCTATGAAATAAAGTACATGTGTAAATATTCTACATAGTTATACTTTGATGAAACCTGTTTGATGAGTTTGTGTATTATCACGTTTTTCGATAGCAATAAAGCTCGTATATGGACTTATAACCGAATATTTTATGCTTAAATCGATAAGATCTCGTTTGTATTGAATTTTGATTAATTCATTCTCGCTTTCGTCGATATGCAATATTCCATTATCGAAATCATCAATAATCGCTCGAGCAGTTAGACAATGTAGAATGCGACCTTTGGTCATTGTTACTGTACTACTAAATACAGTTGTAACAAATTCTTGTCCATTGATTGTTGCTGTCAATGTTGCCTTATGACAATTTCGTATAAATCGATAGACAGTAAGTTTCATTCCATTGAATAATGATCGAATCATTTTTGGAGCTTGGTTATTGAATTTTTGTTGCACATCCAAACTACTATCATGCCAATCGATTGATATACTTGTAACACATGGTTGTCGAATATGTTCGAGAATATTTTGTACTTTAGTTTTCCATTTTGATCGATAATTCGAATCGAAAATGGTTGTTAAACCACCTCCATTTGCTCCACGGGTTAATCGTTTCAAATTGTGTTTATTAGCAACATTGCCAATAGCACATGTAAATAGACGATCACGACACATTGTCGATTGATGTTCGAGTAGAGCAAGAATTGATTTAAGATCATGAATATGTCCATCGGATAGAAGAATAAATTGACGAGCAAATTTCGATGATGATGATGACAACAGAGAATATCGATAGAGGACAGCAAATAGATCCGTATTACCACGATTGACAAGTGAATGCTAAAATAGATGAACATCTATACATTCAGGAATCATCATATTCAAAATGAAAACGAACCAGAACAAAGTGTTTGGCTTTATCAAGATTCTCTTTTGTCGCCGGCATTGCAATTGGAAAGCATTCATCATTATCTAAATAGTTCAAATTTGAATAATAGAAGTACTATAGACTATTCTTTGTCGAACCTGATCCAAATGTAACAATATTAAAAAGTATATTTCCATTATCAATTGTCAAATTCGTCAGAAACAAATGAGCCAATTGTTTAGCCTGTTGTACATGACTACCATCCATTGAATTGGATACATCGATAAGAAAAATAATTTCGATTTGTTCATTTGATTTGGTCGATGGTTCGAATCGTGGATAAAATGTAAGCATACATGCTTGAGAATCATTATTATCATCATCCAATGACAATGTTTCATTTAACATTCGAGGTAAATTAGCATTTTTCAGTGTAATCGAAAGAATAAAATCTCGATCAAGTAAAACATTATCGACAAGTTCGATCATGGCTATACAATCGGTTAATTTTCGACGAAGACAATGTGTTGGCGAAAATAATTTGATTATTTCGTATGGCATTCGAATTGATGCTTTGAGACTAAATTCAACTCTTTCATCGACAATATCAATCGATCGTATTGTAGATTGATCTTTTGTTTCGATCGCTTGTTTCGTTTGCCATGAAGCCATTTTGGCTGGAAAACGAAATATAATATCACCATTTTCCATTTCTAATTCGGCAACATAAATTATCTTAATAATGACTTCAGTATTCGCAGGCAAATTGCCAACAGCGATGCTGAATACTTCGGCCTGTTCTTGATGCATCAAATAGGCACCATAATCTTTTTCAATTGCTTCACGATATTCTTGTTTAGCTTGTTCTTTTTCTTTGACAATACCTTTGATTACTTTATTATTGATATGTGCTTCAAACCCGCATACTGTTGAATTTTCATCAAGAGGAAATACGTATTTTGCTTCGATTGGTATTGAACTCGTATTATGATAGACTTGATAGAGAGCAACCTTTTTTTTGGAAACGTGATGAATTATTAAACGTCAATCGAACATCAATTACCTCAACTATAGTATCGACAATTTGAGCACGAATGTGAAATGATTTAAGTGGTACAAGTTTGCCCGACGATGGACATACTAAACCATAATCCTGTTCGGCAACTTGAATGACTTCATCATCGATTGTCAATGGGACTTCGACTAAAGAGCAAAACAGAGCAAAAAATAAAAGAATCGAACATTATTCTAAAAATAGAATTATTATTTACCGTGTTCACTTAATTTCGATAGATGTTGTTGATTGTGAACAATTGGTAATCGTTCTAATTTAATATTGAGAACATCGTTCGGTATCCATGAAACTTCGACAATGTAGAGTAAACGTTGTTGATCGAGTTCATATATCGCATATTCGTTATCCTATTTTGATCAAAATAAGATATACTAAAAAATGAGTAGGACGTATGGACTAATTATTTCGGACTTGTTTCGGTGTTGCAATCAAATCAAGGACAATCCTTTGTCGCATTACAAAGATAGCACTTCTGCGGTGGGTGATTACAAATATTATATTTCGATAGAATTAAGTCTATAAAGACCTCGAATATCCTTTGAAAAATGCAGAGAGACGTTTGTGACGTCAAAAAAAGATTATACTCTATGCCATATTTAATCGACTTTGGTCGTTCTTTCGACTTACCCGGTTGCCTAACAGAGACTGACGGTACTGTAAAAAAAGTGTATCGTATCGGCACTGCAAAAGATTTACGATATACCGTCTCGCGAAATACCGTTGTAATGCTACTGGTAAAATATCTAATTTTTGTTGCCGGCAAAATTTATGTGGAACCGCTTTTTTGGAACATTTTTTACTTTGGGCATTCAACTTTTTCCGCAAGTTTTGGCATACACAGGCATATGTTTTTCAGAAATCTGCCGCGCGCGACGCAAATTTCTGACGCTCTAGTGGGATTTTTCTTGAAAAATATTTCACTTAGAAGTTGGGTCCCCGAAAGCAACCAACTCCCCAGTACTGCCTAAAAAATGTTCAACTTTTGCCCCCATCTAACTGACATTCTCGATAATTTAGGAGGGTTACTCACTAATACTTTAACAACACTAATTAGAAACATTTATTATTAATTAGCTAAAAAAATGATCGCTTAATGGGCATGGCACCAAGTGCCGAGACACTGTATCAGGCGGCATTGGCAGATGGCGATTTCGAACTGTGTCATCATCAATTTCGATGGCAAAAGTTCGAGAATGATTTTTTCAACAAGATTGAATGAAAATACTTACAGTGAACATTGAATTATTCTCCTTCGTTCGTCTAACTCCGTGCGTACTATGAAAACTATCAGGCGGCTTTGTGAGAGTCGGCGAAAACGAAAAATAGTTGGCTGATTCGCCTAGTGCTACTTGACAAATGCATAATAATCGTCGACCGGGTCGTGTTGTGCTAACCGTTGTATATTTAAGCGATGTGGACACAGAATCCGAAAAATAAATCCCGTAACCAAGACAGCCAATATCAACTCGCGTGACGCCTAATTCATCGACTACCATTTTGGGCATGACCAGACCACTGAATATAAACAAATGAACTATTAATATTATTAGGAACAAGAAAAGAATTCTACCGTGAAAGAATCCCAAGAAAGTTGTTATATCTTGACCCATGAAAAAGCTGTCGTTGATTGGATAATGACATACGAAAATTGAGTGCATCCGTCTGTTTGGTCACATTGAATATGTGATGAATAACAACTTGTTCACCACTAGTAAACAACAAACAAACTAGTGTTATTCAATAAAATTAGAATTCTCCGCACTCATCTGTTGATATTTGAATTAGATCGACTATGGCTTTAAATTCGGGTGTAGAATCATCCAGTGTTTTAATGTGACATTTCAATGCTCGATACTTGGCTTCAATCGATGCTCTTACATTCCAATTGGTGAGCTCATTTACTGTGAGCATATCTCGTAACATCTGAACAATGACAAAATCAAGTGCAAAACAGCAAGCGAAGATGATAACGTACTTGACATAAGTCAATTTTTTCGATCAATATTCGACGATTTTTTACAAGATCAACATTGAATTGTGGTCGATGTGGAATCAGTGAATAGAAACGATGTGCAGCAGCTGAATCATTGCTCGATTTGAGTTCAAGTAGAGCAGCTTCCGCTTCGATGATCTATTTAGTTTTCACCAAAAAACAATATAATAAGTTACGTGAAAGCAATAAACAAACACACCGATTTCAGAGTGATCAATTCAGGTGATACACTCAACATTGTATCGAGATTACCAATCGATTCAAGCCAAATGGATTCGACCAATTGACATACATTCTCGTCGAGCATTTGCGTGTCGATACGATGTGAAAACAAAGACTAGAACGAATCTCACTAGTTTGTTTTTTTTTCAGTCTCAACGAATAGCTTACTTACACGTAACAATAATTTCGATCCTAATTTATCAGGTAACATCTCTCGAACTGGTATCACACGTGGCATGATGGCCACTCGATAATAATACGATGCAAACAATTGTTGTAGTTCATTTGAATCATCACCGAATGCATATTGTATCGATATTCGTTTGCCTTGTTCTTGTCTTTCGCCAACAATTGTCTGCTTTTCGTATCGAAATCGTAGTCGGTAGTCGCTCGTTATTCGATCATAATATTGTTCGGGGATAACCTGAAGTTCAAGAGCAAAAAAGACATCCGACTTGTCATTGGTTTCCTACGTCATGAATAAAAACAAGTAAGAAAAAATCAAGAATAGCATTGTACTTTGAAAATGGCCCATTTACCAATTGTGCAATGTATCGACTCATCAAATCGAGGCAAATTGGTGTCGTCCGAATTCCATAGTTTGATTTTAGTCAAATCGAATTTGTTGATTTTGATCGTGCTTGTCCGAGAACCTGTTCCGCCTTCTTATCAAGCGACAGTATGATTTTAAGAACGATGAAGAAAATTTACCTATGACTGGTATAGTACCAGTCTTTGTAAAATTTTCCTGATCTTCAACTGGCTTAATGATAAATTTGCTAATATCTATGACCGTCTTACCAGGAAGTAGACGACGACATTCGTACACATATTCAACATTGACCAGTGGCAAACCGAGCTGTTTAGCACGACGTGTCTTGTAAGTATCCACATCATTTGTAACCAAAACGTAGTCCGTCTGAAAGGAAGAATTAATTTCAAAAACAATTGTTTGAAAAAAACAAAACAAACCCATACACTAGCTGTAAGAATGTATGAAATATAAGCTTGTTCTACACGTAAATAGTTGATAAGCTCTTGTTTAGCTTTGAAACCTATTTCACGGCCAAGTTCGAGTACAAATGTTTTGCCTTTGAATGGTGACGAGAATGAAGAAGATACAGTTTGTTTCATCTGAACATAGTTTAGAAATGATTTAATTGATCAATAAATGTATTCATTATCGTTTTTTCGCTTCAATAGAACGCAAAAAACAAGATGTTTTCAACATAATCATGTGGAGGTACAGGCAGCTGCTGCCAATGATTAATGTGCTTACCTGCTATTTTGTTGAGAGTAAAAGCAAAAAAGAAAAACAACAACGCATGCTACTGATTTTTTTTTCTCATTCTAACGCTGCATGTGTCGCACATGTTGTGTGTTATTGCACAAGTCAAAAGAAACGATCCTATTATGAGAATGATAACTATGTTGTTGATCGACGTCATGATATCATGCTGCAAAGAATATTGTTGTCGTGAAAAAAAGTCAAAAATTCTATATCGAATTGGGCGTGGGGTGTGGGTGTGGGTGTCATTGTGGGTGCGTGGATATTCTATTCTCTTATGACAGCCATACCCACACCCACACCCACCAAATACTGCGCAAAATATTGTATGAATGAACTCTTTATGAAAAGTTTGTTAGTTCAAACTAGCTAGTCAGTGATTTTTTTCTGTGCTGTATTTTTTAGTCTTTTACCGACTTTATCACACAGTAGTTTAAAAACGCCAGGATATGATTCTTGCTTCCTTTCACTCATATGATAGTGAATTGTTATGAATAGTACCTCAGAAAATATGATTCTAACTAGGGTTGTATCGCGAAGAAAATATTGAACATCATTCAGCTATAGGTAAGCTAAGCCTCATCGATGAAGCAAATCATCAAATATGGGTTGTAGAATTTGAAACATTTAGTTTTGTTAAGACTTCGTTATTAATCTTTGCATCTAGCTCAAGTTCGTTTCAGACATTGGACGCATCAATACATGCTTTCTTTTCCCAATTCATTCATGTGGGACTCCCGAAATCAACAGATTTCGTCGAAACTAATTGGAAACATACAAAAAGATCACTATGTCAGATGATATTTAGTCACTTATTACCAAAAGAGCTAGAACTTCATAGAAAGTTACCAAAAAACAGAGACGTCTGTTGAATTCAAGATGAGAAAAAAACCATTCGCTTTTATAAGAAAAATACGAAAATAATTATTAAATATAAAATTAGAATGTTTTTTTTCTTTACACTAAAAATCAATAAAGATAATTTATTGACAAAAAAGTTGATGATAATAAATCAAATATTCAAGTAAGAACAACAAGAAATGATTTGTTTCTTAATCATCAAAGTAAATCATTAATTGATAATAAGTGTTTTAAATGATATTTTAATATTTGATAATCAGTTATCAAATAATTATCTGTTAACATCTAATCATCAATTACAGGATTATAATATTATATCAAGGGATGATCTGTTAACGGATAAAGTGAATTAGAAGATAATAATACTTGACAAAATAATAATCAATTACAAAATAACAATATTGTATGAAATACAGATCAAGTTCTAAATAATAATGGATTATTAAATAATAATACTCTATCAGATAGTAATGAATTTGACGCTAATAATATTTCACCAATTAATGATGAATTACATGATAATAATATTTTATCAGATATTGACTTTTTAGCAAATAATAATGAACTTGAAGATATTAAATGATAATACGTCACCTAACTATGTGCTGCAGTTAAAAACAGAAAGAGAAGAAATTATTCAAGATTTGAATAATGAGATTAATGAAACTCGATTACAGTTACAAAAAATGAATGATAAATTAGATAATTTAACTCAAAAGGAAAAATGATAAAAGTGACGATTTAAGAAAACAGTAAATATGTTTTTTGAAAAATTTAATTTTAATTTAGATAGATCGTGTTGTAATAAATCACAGAAAAACCATGTAAAGCGTATAAAAGTTAATTGCATTAATGAGGGTGTGAATGTAGTTGTGGGTATGAGATGTCTATAATCACACTAACACTCCACACCTACACCAAAATTGAAGAAAACTGAGTCTAACATTGAAAAGAAAACAATCGATAGTATTTGAAATGGAATTATTTCTGTTTCTGAGCAGCATTGATTGCTCTGGACATGCGAAAACATTCTTAGAGTAGGCAACTCCAACCTATGTGTAAAAGATGGTAGAAATGCTAGATGCCTACAAATCAAGATAATATGTTCAAGAACCATCCATTTTTGATGGAATTCTGTAACAAGTACTTTTTTTAGTTTGTTATTCGATGCAATTATTGCAATCATCTGATATTCGGGAAGTTTGTTAAAAACTAAACAACTCTTATAAGGAAAGTATATTTCTATGTGACTTTGTTTCTTCGTAAAATGCTAAATTATCACCTCCACTAAAAAAAACAATTCTATTTTTGAAATTTCACAACAAATAATATTTTTTGAATAGATGAGCTCGAGCTAAAGGAAAATCATTGAAATTTTTTCTGATTATAGATCTAAAGAGTTTCTATTCTGTAAAAGACGTTTCCATGAATTTGCTTTTGCCGTAAATCAAATTTCATAACGCTTGGTCGTTTGGATATGCAAGAAGGAATCATTTTTCCGGTTAACGTCTAGTTACTTGAAGTAGAAACCAAACAGTTGACAAAAGAGACCTTTTGAATTCCTCTCTTCCGATTTCAATGATTTTTTTTGCCTCTAAATACTATATAGTTTCCTAATCAAAACCTAGAGTGATTTGGGTTTGAATAAGCTATTGAATTTTTTCTAGAAGTTTCAAGTCGTCGAAACACTCACATTTTCTAATTTTGATTTGAAACTTTGTGCACATAGAGAACTCTATCAGTTGACTTTCATAAAAACATTCACAAGTTTTTAATAAAGTCTCTTCAATATATGAGGCGTTCAGGATATAGATCTTTTTTGAGAATAGTGTATACAACATATACTTTTTCAAAACTTGTGAATATTTTTATGGAAATTAGTCTAGTTGAATTCTCTATATGAGTAAAGTCGTTTAGAGCTTTTTTAAAAATAATACTATGTAGTATCGATAAGCAATAAAAATCATTGAAATTGGAAAGAAGCAGCTAAAGAAGTTCGTTCATAAGTCACCATCAATCAATACGTTGGTTCATATTTCTAATATTATTTCAAAAAATTAAGTTAATTAAGAAATATATCATTAGTATAATGTTTTGATTTGTTAATCAAATTAAAACTTATATATAAACTAAATCATACTCCTACTGTTTTCTATTTTCAATCCTATAAGAAATACTGATTATTCGAATTTTTAGTACTACACATTCTAAATATAATACTTTGATTCTCAATGAGACGTTGCATTTCCAATTAATCTTACTCAATTAGTAATTATAAAGATACGATTCATGATCAAATACGAATTAAAACAGCTTATACAAATAGCTGTAGAACGATATTCTGCAAACTATCGTTATGTTATTCAAAATCGTTTAACAATATATATTTTATTTTTTAATTGTAAATTTGACGTATGCGAATTTCAATAGTTTTAAAATTGCTGCGACAGTTTACCTGAGTTTTGTTCGAAACGAAAAAAAAAAAACAAGTCTTTTTTAACAATTAAAGAAAATGATCGTTGTCTTTTTTTTTGAATTAACAACATACTTTAATCAGCTCAATATTTTTAAGTGTGCAACATTTGACTATTTTTCGGTTGTGTAAAATTGATCTAATTTTTCGTTGCGTCAATTTCAAAATTCAATTTTTTTTCTCCAACAGAAGATTAATGTAGTACAGGCAACAATATCGACATTTCTGTTTTATTTTCATCAGCATACAGTCAACTGTAAATTAGTATTTAATATTTTATACAATATCGCATTCAAATATGATTTTCTTCTGGTCTGTAGGTCAAGCCAGGCCAATTACTTTTTTTTAAAACAAAGAGACAATCATTAAAAAAAAGGCTCGATATCAACGCCATGTTTTTAATCAATTCAATACTATTTCGTATAATCGAAAAAATATAATCATGATAGCAAAAACAACATATGATTAAGCATACAATGAAGAGGTAAAAGAAAATGTCGCGAATAAATGATACTTATAATGACAGGCAAAAACATTTACATATGACAATCGATTTTTGCAAACAGCACGAAAACAAAATTTATTATTCAATTGTTTTCGATTTGAAACAAATTTTTCTGTCAGTCAATGTAAGTCTTACAACATTAAATTTATGTTCAGTTCAAATATTTGTTGCTGAAATTATCAACAGTAGCTCTAGTTGTGAAGAACTAATATGAAATTAAGATAATTTTATTTCTAAAAGAAATCTTCTTTCTAGATGTTAAAAATCAACATTTTTTTTTTGATTTTCGATTGCTAACATAGTTTCGAAATGCATTCTATCAAATACTATAGAAATGGGAGATTTTCATTGTTAATTAGTACTTTTCTTAAACTCTAACTCTCGAAATTCGTAGTAGAAAAATTCACGTTATGATTATTCTTTATATACAAAATTCTTCTAATGATAATGAATATTTCTCATTTTACAAATGTTTTCATTTCACGGACATAGTATATTCAATCGAACTGAACGTAGGTACTCCAGAATTTGAACCTATGAAAATTTTTGCTTCACTTATTAAAATCTATGTACTCTGAGAATTTCAAATATATTTGATAAGCCCTTCTTTAGGAACTCAGGAAATCGGAAGTTTCCTTTTTAAAGTAACAATAGCTTTTAAAACAAAAGAATGAGTTAATAATTGGAAAAACTAGTTTCTATCAAGATGTCAGTAATGGAAAATTAAAGTAGAAATTTTTATCTTTTCTTTTCTTTATATTAACAGTCCAAAAAGTATTTAGATACCAAATAATTTTTTTTTAATACTTTGCAATTACTAAAATTTCTCTTTAAATATATAATAAACATATTCTTCATTCAGCATTTGGTGGCATCTAATTTATTCTTTATTCTATATGAAATTCAAAATTTCAATCTTTTGTGAACATGTGAAAATTAATTCTTTTATCATTATTGTACAAATCAACCAATAGGAAAAACATACGGTTAGGTGTTCGAATACTTGTTGAAGTAATTGCATATGGTTAAATAGAGCATGACGAATTGATCAAAATTATTTACATCATCAATTTTTACATTTTCTGTAAAATTTTTGTTTTTAGATTTAGCATGAAAAAATTGATATCTACGAAACTGATTTATAAATTAATTTTCTAAATACCAGGTTGTTTTTTAATAAATCTTAAACAAACAATTTTAAAAGTTAAAGTAACCGAAAAAATTAAAAATACATATGATCTTGAGCAGTTGGTCACGCTCTATCTAACCATATATATAAAGAAAAAGAAGAAAAAAAAAACTTCTGCCTTAATTATGCATTTCCGATACTTCATATCATTTTCTCTACTACAACTTCCGACTTTTTTTGGAAAAAAAATTGTGTTTTTTTTTTTTTGTTCGTCTTACAAGCAAAACAAACCTTTGATTTATTTATGATAGAGGTCACTACTTATCATTACCTAACATTTGAATCATGACCTAGTAATAAAGTCTAATTGGTTAATAAGTTTGACCGTTCGATCTGGCAGATAGGACTTGCTTGTTTGTCAACAAATGTTTGAAGGGTGTCGTATGTTTCTGATACAAATATATTTTAATAATAATATTTAAGATTATCATGGATCCAGAAGTTGATGATGATGATCTTCGTTCATTATCTGAACGTATTTTACCTTTAACGTCTACATCTTATACAAATAATACATCTTCTCGTACTACTACTACTACTAATAATACTAATAATACTAATAATAATAATAGTCGTACTCGTTTATTAAAATCACAAAAAAATATTTCATTTGATAATCAAATATTTCATGAAGAAACATCTTTACCACTAACAGCAACTACAGGTGATATTATACAAATGAGTGATGGTACAAGAAAAAAATATAATGGTTCATCATGGCGTCGTATGTGTTCAAAACCTAATTGTACTTATTATACACAAAGTCAAGGTTTATGTAAACCACATTTAGCTGCATTAAAAAAACGTAAAATATTAAAAAATGATAATGAATTAATACAAACACAACAACAAATAACATCTGAACAAGAACAACCAAAAAAAGGTGATATTATGATTTTATCAAATGGTATACGAAAAAAATTTGATGGACGACAATATCGTCGTATTTGTAATAAAACAAATTGTACTGTTGTTGTACATGGTAGTCTTGAATATCAAAATGGGTTGAGTATTTCTTGTTATTGTTGTTTCCTATAGAATTATTTTATTTTAAACATAAATATTTTATTGATTTTTTTTTTGTTTTTTGTTTTTTTTAAGTTTATGTCCACAACATTATCAAGAATGTCGTGGTAAAACTAATAGTCCATCATTATCTTGTTCTGAATCAGAACAACAATTTTTATCTGAATCTTCTTCAACACCATTGACACAATCTATAAGTTCATCTTCATCACGTAAACGTCGTCGACTAAAATCTCCATTATCATCTGTTAATCATTCTCAATCATCAATATTTGATATAATAAATAAAAATTCTATACCAAAACCTAATCGTCGTTTATCAATAGCTGTCATTCCAGCAACTGTTGATATAAATCATCCAAATAAAGGTGATATTATTGAAATGGAAAATGGTTCAAGAAAAAAATTTGATGGTGTTGTTTGGCGTACTATTTGTTCTATACCTGGATGTTTAATAGCTGCACAACGAAATGAATTATGTCGAAAACATTTTATTAAACTTAATGGTAAACAAAGTACAGCACCAACTATGGCTATGAATATTATTGGATCAGGAACAATGATTATGTCAAGAGCAAATAGTACTTCATCAATAGATGAAAAAATAGGTCAATAATCATTGAGAATCTTTCTTTTTTTTTGTTTTTTCTTTAATGGATGATTGAAAAATTTTTTAGACAAGATGTTTATTTACGTTTGACGAAAGATCGTCAGATTGATTTTGAGTTTAAAATTCTGTCTAATGCTATGGAATTAGAATCAAAACTTTGTGCTTTTTTTCTCGAATATGAAACTTACAGTTGAAATATATCATGCATCATCCTTTTGATGGAATATTGTGGGGTTTCTTTTTTTATAGATTTGATATCTCAAGAAAAGAAGACTTGTTTTGATTGAAAGTTTTTGAATTGTGCAAACGATTAAAAAAAAATCTAGTTTAACAACTATAACTTTAATGAAGTAGCGTATGACGAAGAATTGTTCTAATTTCAAAAAGTTCTGCATAATGACTAAGATCTCATCTCAAAAGCTAGAAAAGTTTGTCTTAGCTTTCGCTTAACTGTAGTGAAATAATCAGTTTGAACGGAACTTATAGACTAATGTTTCCGATGAACATTTTTAGTCTACTTGAAAGCATTTCAGATGAGCTAAAAATCGTGATTAGAGTTGACATATTAAGCTTATAAAATATTGTGTCTAGTGTGAAGAGAATTTTTGAAAGATCTGAAAAATTATTTTTTTATGATGAAACAACAGGTTTTTCTTTACTCGATAAGTTTCTTTCTATCTACGATGACTATTGATTCTTCGAAAATGAGTATTTTTAGGAAAAACGAAAATTGTAGTTTCTTGTCAATAGACAAAAAAAAATATTTCTAATAATACATTTATACTCCAATAAAATCTTTTGCGATGTCGAAAATTTCAAGCAGAAACTCTTTATTACGTTTTTATTGTTGAAATATTCTACACTCATTATTAGAAATATGAATATTCTCATCAATATCTAATTCAAAAATTTTTATTCTAGAACCTCAAGATTCACAAAAAAAAGAAACAATATCAAATATAAAAGAAGAATCAATTGATTATGATGATAATCAACAAGAAGAAACAAATATTGATAATGTATCACACAGTTATAGTGCCTCAGGTTAAATGTTTTTTTTTCTTCATTTTTTATTATACTTATATGTACATATCAAATTTAGATGATGATACACATATTAACCAAGAACAGTCATCATCTCTAATCGATGAAGATAATTTAGATGCACAAATAGATCATTCATTAATCAATGCACTTTCAGCTAGTCGAGAAAAATTTCCAACAAGTATAAAATAATATTTTTTATTAATATGAACACAAAAAGAAAACAATTTGTTTCTTTTTTACATTAAGCTTTTTTAAAAAAATGGCTACGAGAACATCGTACTAATCCATATCCAAGTAATCAAGAAAAATTACAATTAGCTAAACAATCATCCATAACATATGATCAAGTAACAACATGGTTTAATAATGCACGTGCTATACTTCGACGTCGTCAAGCTAAATTACAACATTCATTTGATAATGTTGATGATAATCATGATGATGAACAATTATCATATGAAAATAAAAAACGTTCTGAATCTTCAAGAGGTAGAAATTAAAAAACAAAAAAAAACAAACAAACAAACTAAAATATCAATTTTAGGTCCTCGATCATTACCTTTATTTAATGGTATATGTTGTCGTTCAATAGGTATACAATGTAATCCTTCAACAGTAGATCAAACAACAATAACATCAACAAAAATATCTGTTATGACTGATGATGAACTTACATTAGATCGTACAATAAGAATTTTAACACCATCAAGTCGTGTATTAACAACTAATTATCTTAAAAGAAATGGTAGTCATGAATTTTTATTAAATGGAATTAAAAATGACGATGAAAATGAACGAGAAAAATCTATTATTGTTACAAGTACTTGTCTTGATGATGATCAAATGGTAATTATAATTTGTTACATATATATTTTTTTTTTGTATATCAAACAAATTTATATTAATTTTGATGATAATCATAATTATCATCAATCGTTAATATAAAATAAATATGTAATAGGATATTTCATATACCCATAACAGAGCTAAACAAGTATAGGGGTGGCATTTTAACTTTAAAGTTGAAATATGCTACTTCCCATGGAAAAATTCTTCAGAAAAAAACTGCGGTATTGTTCTGCATTTTGAAAAACCGCGAAAGTCAGACCATTTATGCGTCTTTTAAAAACCGGTTGAAACCGCGGTTTGTAATATCGCGGTGAGAACAGAAAAAAAGTCCGGTTAGACCAGCTCGGACCACAGTTTTCTCGGTTCTCACCGCGGTATTTGCAAACCGTGGTTTTCAGCGGCTTCAAAAACCGCATAAACGGTCTGACTTTCTCTGTTTATGAAACCGCGGTTTTTTCTTGAAAAATTTTTCCGTCGGTTTAACTTTAATCACTTTATTAAAGTATTTTTAAAGTTAAAGTGTCATTCCTAAACAAGTACGAGTACATTCTTTTATTATTAAAGAAGAAAGACATATCTTATAATTTCAAATGATATTCTATATGAAAGTTATAAGCTTTAAAATCATACGAAATATTCGTTTTGATTAATACACTAAAACTTTATACTGTAAAAATTAGATCCTTCTTTTTCCATTGGTACAAAAATTTCAATTTTCTATTTGTTCAGCTGCTATGTTGAGTATATACCAAGATAAAATGTGTTACATATGTCGCACATTGCAACATAATGTGTAACATATGCTGCTCGTTGCGACATATGCAGAACATTTTGAAAATGTGTTACAAATACAATCTTCAACATATTTTCTATACGATTGTACAGAAGCGAAAAATTACTTTTTTAATAGAAGAATCCTTGATGTCAATAGTATTGAATTAGGTTTAATATAGTTAATGATATATTTGAGAAAATTTAATTTTTTCAATGGAATTATGTTAATAGTTAATCTTTGATTTAATTTTAAAATTCAGATATTTTTGAAATACATTGATTTCATTATTTTTTCAAAATTTGAAATATTTCTACTACACAAACGAGATATTGTTGTTTGATAAAAACAGACGCTGATCTAGTTTGAAATGAAATAATCTTTTATTTTTCTTCTTTCTACAAGTACTTTTGCATAGCGAATCTCTAAAAAAGAATTAATCTTTATGCGTTGACCTGACATGAACTTTGATGAGTATTATCATTGTATGTCTTCGAGACGGTATATGAAGACATACGAATTATTTTAGAACGTCTATAGTAATATACAATTTTATAGAAAAATTTTAAGAGTCATGTAAGATACTGAAACAAGTTGAAATTACATAATGATAGAAAATCAATATTGAAAGATATAAATAATACTATTATTATAGAAGATATCAAATCTTTTTTAATAATCAAAGATTAAAAAATGATAAACATTTCGTTTTATTTTAGTTTTGAAATAATTTTTCGATTAATCATAAAAATTTATTTAAAACTTTTTACATATAGATCAAGTTTTCAATGTTGAAATTTATGCTTTAAAAGCAAAGCATACAATTACAAAAAATTCGTTCTACGTATATCATTGATACAGTTCTCCTTATTATTCATTTCGATGATAATTGAAAATTATCCATGAAACGTATCATATATATTGTTTTTTTTTGAAATATAATCTCAAAGAAATGTTGAAGTATAGATCTAAAAGTTTGACCACTCTCCTTCACAAATGTGATAGACATAACTTATCATAGACAGTGACAGATGTTGTGTTGATATACTATCAAAAACAGTATATCAATAAGAAATATTTCATAAAGTATAAGAAGTCTCTATTTTAATTAATTCTTTTTAATGTAAATGACATCCGTAATATTACAAAACACACATCAAACAAATTGGATCATTTAGTGTTTTATATTATAGATTCTTTCAAGATAAATAACTAAATCTAGAAATTGAATATTAAAATATAGTAGAAAGATTCATTACTTTCTTATTGTATTCTTTTTCAAGGATTAAATAAAACTTTAATAAAATATTTGAAGAAAAAAAAGTCAAATTTAATTAAAATTAATTTTGATAATCATAAATTTAATAAATAAATTCTTTTTATTTAAAGATTCGTTTAAAAGAATTTTGTTCAAAATTTCAAATTGAATTATCAAATATTGTTGATAATCATACAACACATTTAATAACTGATGAAGAAGGTGAAACACTTGTATGTCCATTATCAAAAAAAGTTATACAATCTGTTGCACGTCATATGTATATTGTAACATATCGTTGGATTGATGCTTGTTTAAAAGCTAATCAAATATTAAATGAAAAATTATATGAAATTCAAGGAGATTTAACACTTTCATCAGATCATAATGGTTTGTTTTTTGTTTTATTTTTCTTGTTTTATTTTTTTTTTGTTTTTTTGTCCTTCAAAGGTATGCAACGAAGTCGTCAAAGTATATTACCAGATAGTTTACCAAAAAATTTATTATTTGAAAATTTTTCTATTATGTTAAAATGTAATGGTTGTCAAGAAATGATGAATAATGATGAATTAATTGAATTAGTTCAATTATCTGGTGCTAAACATACAACTGATTCACATTTTTCACGTTTACAAATAGGTATAACACGTATTGTTCTTTGTGAAAAAGAATATTTAATTAATCGACGAGAAATGTATGAAAAATGTATTCAAGCTGGTATTCATTTTCTTACACCTGAATGGTAAAAATTATTATGAGAAAAAAAAAAAACAAAAGATTTATTTATGTTTTTTTTTTGATTTTGAAAATAGGTTTCTTGAATCACTTGTTCAATATCGTATTCAACCGTTTCAAGAATATCAAATAACACCATGAAAAACAAACTGCGATAAATTTCTTTTCTTTTCATCTTTTTTTCTTTTTTTTTTTTTTCGTTTTTGGTTTGTTGTCAGATTAAACACAAAACGCAATTCTTCTTGTATTCTCTTTAATGAAAAACAAAAAAAAAAAACAAAACAAATTATAACAATATATAGAATTTTATATATTTTTCCGATGATACATAATGGAATTTATTCGATAGACAAAAAGAAAAAAACAACAAATTGGATACTTTTAATGTAACAATAATAACTAAATATTGAATGTTAAATAGCAAAAAAGTATGTTTTCATCTTTTAACATGCAGCTTTATATAAAACAATAACAGACCGTGCATGATGTACAGCCGGAATGTGAAAAGAACTTGGGAATAGGAATATTTTTCACACTATGACTGAAACTCATTTAAAACTTCTATTTCGAGATGTAACAAATCTAAATCTTGGCTTAGATTTGGTGTTGAAAAAATTAATATCAAATAATGCGTTTATATAAATATGTTTACTTTAAGTAATTTTTCAACAATCAAATTCAATATGTGTCAAACTTAAACATTGGATTTGATAAATCTCTACTTCTTCTGATCTTAAGATTAGTACATTGTTTATTATGAAACACGACCTAAAAGGAATGTTAGATAAAGACTTTCATTATCTATGTGTATCACTCTTATCAAGTACCGCTGTGTACCATTGACATTCCAGTAGATAACGTATCTTTCACTGCACCCATGGTCGACCGCAACAAAGATGGAGCTATCTATTGACATGTCAACGATATACAGTAGAACTTAATAATGTGTATACTTTTAGATAGAGAAAGTTTTTCTCTACAATCCTATATGTATGTCGTTCTATAGTCAAACCTTAATAGGCGTCCTTGGACCAACTGTGTTTTTGCATAGACTTGATGGATGTATGAGCAACACTGCCACAGGCCGTAATAGACATTGCTGATATACAATCAAAAACTGTCTATCAATAATGTCTTTCTATAATATATGAACTATTTTCTTATTGCATTTCTGAAGTAATAAGTAAAAGAGTGCTGAGGAAATGTATTACAAAATAATCTTCCTGTAATTCGCAATAGCAGTAATACTTTGTTTCATTTCTTTATTCCGTAAGAATTCTGGTAATAGGTTTTTACTATATGATCGATATTGTTACTCTGCCATCATAACTAATATTTCGGTGATCAAGTTGCATATGCAGCTAATAACTTTACTTCTTCAGCAATTGTATTTTTACCATCTTTCGATCGAAAGCTCAATCTTGAAATCATTGGTTCTAGAACAAGTCTTTATGAAATGAAATTCATTTCGAATGGATTTGAGAAAATTGAAGGATTTCAATTCTCTTTAAAAAACAAAAAGATGATTAGATTATGTGAATGCTTCTTTATAAAACTAAAATTTCACTTTATAAAATGTTTATATTCAAATTTTACACTTTGTCGATTTCTCATTTGCTAATTTATTTCAATGTTTATTATGATCTGTCCGATTAAAAACAATCCAGAGTTGATTAACATTTGAAAAATTTACAACAAGACAAGTTGATGACATAAAAAAAAAAGAAGAAAAAAACCGTAGTTATTAACAAATATTCATAACAAATAAAATTTGTTGATTCAAATTGATTTAATTGACAATGTTTGAAATTATGTTTTCATTATTTTATTTGACAATAGAAACATCAAGTTTAATTAAAGTTCTTTTTTTTTTAATTATTATAAAAAACAATGCTCTTTGTCAAGTACATCTAGTTTTTATTCTCAATAGTCATTTAACTAAGCAGACATTTTCTTTGATATTAAACAAAGTACATGGTTGATAAACGTATGTCATATAAAACATTTGATTTCATCGGATAATAGTATTTATGATTGATTAAAAAATCTCTAATAAATCTAATTGAAATTTATTTTAATAACAAACAAAAAACTATTGAATTTTCGATTATTTTCTTATTTAATTTATTATATTGAGTTTGTTTTTTTTTTCGTGTTTGATCATGAATGGAATCAAGTTATTGATAAGATATAAATGCATATTGAATTGATTATTTGAACATCTCAAGAGAAATATTCATCGCATGTTCGTATTTTTGATTAAATCTAAATAGAAAGAAATTAGATGTGAATTGTTTTAGATAACTGTAAACAATCAAAAATATATAAAATTTTTCTATATTTTTAAATTAATGAATATTCATTGACATTGACATTTTATGAAAATCATATGTCAAATAAATTAAACAGAACAACATAAAAAAATCAACAAATTTTCATCTTTTATTTAGTTTCCGTTTAGCATTTATTATTTAGATATGTTCACCTGCTAGTCTTTAATGACATTGAAATCATGCATGTATGTTCATTATCAATAACAAAAACACAAACATGCTTATTTGAAAGTTTAGTTTTTCTTTTTTCTTTTATGTGTTAATAACACTGATGTCAATAAATGACATTGTAATTATTCAGACAAATTCATTCTCGTTATTGTATCCAGATGAAAAAATTGCTGTATAAAGTTCTATGAAACTTTTACACGTATGAACACTCGGCCTTTTTTTCTTTTTTTTTTTGCTTATTCGCATCTCATATCTGTTCTTTCAAGCTTTTTATTATTTTTCATCTTTCTTTTGTGTAGTTCGGAAATATAATGCTGTTGTTAATGTGTGCGTGCGTGCGTGCGTACGTATACTGAAGAAAAAAAAAAAGAAGGAGAGAGACACTAACACAGATAGTCGGAGATGCAACAGACAGAGAAAGAGAGAGAGAGAGAAAAAAAGAAAAAAAAAAACTCAAGCAAAAAAAAAAGAGAACATAAGAAAAAATATATATACTGACCTCATTTTTATTCTCTAGTACTCCTAGTGCAGTATAAACAAACTTTATGGCCTTATGTTTGATACATCTATTGTCTTTTTCAATAAAATATCGTATTAAAAGCACTAAAATATCGAACAAAGCATAAAATAATATCAATTGGTCTCAACAGGCTTTTAAAAAAAAAAAGTTAGTTCTTTTTTTTTGTTTTTTCCTTATTGTTGTCTATTCTATTGAAGAAAGATAAAAAAATAAAAGAAAATTAAACTTGAGCATTTTACTCTTTACTCTTTCATGTCATAAAAATGTTCTGTTATAAGTTCAAGGATCATATAGAGTGAGTAAGCAACAGAAAAATTAACAAAGAAAAACAAAATATACATGTAAAATATCTCTTTCATGACATAAGTAATATAATAGATATATACATATGTATATGACCTATATAAGTGGAACATGCGTTATTATGATATGATTGTTTCTTTTATGCATGACAATGGCAACAGAAAAAGTCTTTTTTGTTTTTTTTTGTCAAAAAGTTACGTAAAATAAATCGTTTTTCTTTTTTTTATGTGTTGTTATTTGTATTTTTTGAAATCGTTGAAAAAGAAGTTTGTTATCTATTCAACGAACAACGATATGTTTTTTATTCTTGACTGATTCGCCTGTGTAAATAAAGTACCTAATTACTGTGACGATATGTTTATGTATTTCCACGTGTTGTAAAATGTTTTTTCACCCTTGTAATCTAGTTAGTATGTGCATAGCTTTTTTCTTGTTTATCAAACCAATGCTGACATATATGCATAGAGTATATGTATTAGAAATATTACCAAATTATAACGTTTATTTTCTCAGGGTTTTTTTTTCTTCTGTTGAATGTAACATATTATCTCATCATGAGTTTTTCTTCGAGCAAATATTAACATATGGATTGAAAATTTTTAATCTAGTTAAAAGGAAAAGTCTTTTGGAAAAATATTTTATTATTCAGTTCTAATGAAACCATGACAAACTTTCGTTAGCAGAAGAAAAAAAAGAAACAAAATAGTAAATGAATAGAGTTCTATACATGTTTTATTTATTTAACATAACATTGTTATTGTCTTATTAGTCACTTCACTCGTATAAAGTAAATTACAAAGAAGCCAGATAAATTAGTGTCTAATTACAAAAGAATGTAGGTGTATTTTACGATCGTACATGTTCTCTTATGCGACATTTGATGCTTTTTCATCTTTTTGCGTCATTATTGCGTTGCTATCGATGTCGAACAACAGTAATGTAAAAGCTGAGAAAATATTTGATGGATTGTTCTCATTTAAACCATATTAAAAAAGAGAGGAAAAGGCTCCAGACATTTTCTTTTCTTTTTTTCTTCTCCTCGATCTATCGCCTTTTTATGAATAACATATATGCACGTACACTTGAAAATTTTATGTGCACACAAACATGCACACATGTCCTCTCCATATGACAAAAGTAACTGTATTTTTTTGGTTCGTTCGCTTTTTTTCTTTTTTAAATAAAATTCTTATTCTTTGTTGTTTACAAACCTTGGACAGTTCGGTATAATTAAACGATAGAAGAGTATTGTATTGACATTATTGACGTCTGTTTCGTACGGTTCATAATGTTTTTTCTTATTTTCTTTTTCTTTTTTTTTGAGAGTTTAAGATGTTTACCGAAAAACCATTATCATCAATTCCTTGTTCTATACCACCGGAAATATCCATTCCGAATTCGCCAACTTCATCAACGTCTGCATCACCATTATCATCAGCAGCTCACTCACGTACATCTACAATAACATCAAATAGTTGTAAACGAAGTGGTGTTTTATCATCACATCAATCTAATCGACAAATGAAAATAGGAAAATATTTTCTTGAAAGAACAATTGGTAAAGGCAGTTTTGCTGTTGTTAAATTGGCGACACATTGTGACACACATCAAAAGGTATGAGAAGCAAAAAATGATGAGAAAACCAAAAGAAAAAAGACTATATTTCTTCCTATGTTTTGGTTTGTTTTAGGTAGCCATTAAAATAATAGATAAATCATGTTTAAATCCAAATGATCATAAAAAACTTGAACGTGAAATAGCTGTTATGAAATCATTAATACATCCATATATTATTCGCCTTTATGAAGTATGTTGACGAGAAAAATAAAAGAATTTTTTTTTTTTTTTGTTACCTTGAATTCTTTTTTCTTTTGTTTTCTAAAGGTAATGGAATCAAAGAATCTGATTTATCTAGTAACAGAATATGCAGCTAACGGTGAACTTTTAGGTTAGTTGGTCATTTTGACTCAGACAAACAATTATTGTTGTTATATATTATTGTTTTTTTGGTTTGTAGATTTACTGATTCGTGAGAAACGTTTAAGTGAAGCTAAAGCTAAAGAAAAATTTCGACAACTTGTACTAGCTGTTGAATATATACATTCAAAAAATATTGTAAATAAATAAGATTTTTTGTAAAAATTTGTTAATATACTCGTTTTTTTCTTTAGGTGCATCGTATGTTAAAAATCAATACTATGATCATGTTTTCTTATCTATATATATGTATATATTATTCTAATTTAGGTGATTTAAAAACAGAAAATTTATTATTAGATGGTCATGGAAATATTAAAGTTGCGGGTATGTATTATTATTTAAAATTTAGATGAAAAGCATGACTTTCGATAATGATTATATTCTTTACATCAAGACAAATCTCTTCTATAAAATTCTAAATATAAAATATGATTAATTAATAGAGTTTTAAATTATTGAAAAAAAAACATTGTGTAAAACGTCAGATTTTTTTTTTTGATTTATTATTTAATTTCATTGAATTCAAGCTGAAACATAATTTTTTCTTTTTTTTATTCTTGAATTATCACAAGAAGAAAAAAAAAACAAAACCATAATAATAATTATTATGCATTTGAACAATTAGTAATCAGTTTTTATATTATCTAATTGAATAAAATTATGAATCATGACATTTTCTTTTTCTACAAAACTTCAAAATAGAAAAATATATATTTTGTTGAAAAAATAAGAATGCACATGATCTCATCATCTGCATGAGGAAACATTAGACTTCAAAGATTATAAGATGTTTAACAGCTTGGTGCTTTTTTTCTTTTATCTACCGGATTCTCTATTTTATCAACTGTCGAATAAGAATAAATAATACAATCTTAAGATAATATGAAGAGAAAAAAAGAAGATAGATCGAAAATTTTCTATAAAAGAGTTCAATGATTAATTTAAATAATTTCAAGTTCTTATTTCTATAAAACTATTCTTTTTATGAATTCAGTATAAGCATAGTAGGATTATAAAACTACAAACAACATATACAACAACAACAACAAAAAAAAATATCCTTAATCATAATTTAATTAGAAAAAGAAAACCAAGCATATTCATGTTAAAGTATCAGTCTTTATCTCATATGAATTCGGATAAAAGAAAAAAAGTAAAAAAAAAAAACCATAATTTTCGAGGTCATTGAGAACTTAGATTTGTTTTTTTGTGTAATAAAAAAGAAAATATAGAAACAACTTCAAAGATTTATATTTCAACTAGTCTTTATGATTATAATTGTTCTAGTTATTCTTTCATTTTATATTTTATTATAGATTTTGGTTTTGCTAATACATTCAAACCTAATACAAAATTACAGACATTTTGTGGTTCACCACCGTAAGTAATAAATATCTTTGAAAAAATTAAGAATACCGACTTTTTTCCCAGGTTTCTGAAGAACGATTTGAATAGTTGAGTGAAATTTGTTATGAACTCAAAATTTCAAAATGACTCTTTCTATGACGTATAGAAGGTCAAACTGCTCTACGAATTACTTAAAGTTTCTTCCATACAAATAACCAGAATCCATTTTTTATGGTTGAATATTTTTTAATAATACCTAAAGACTGAATTAGAATGCATGATTTCTTTTTGTTTTGTTTGAATAATATTGTTTCCTTCATTTATACGGATCAAAATACTGAAAACTCTGTCAAAAAACGTATTTTTTTTGTGCCTAGAGAAAATTTTTGTACTAAAATCACTAGTTTAATGTCTTAATGTTTAAAGACATTTTTTAGATTTCACATTGTACTAAGTAGATAAATACTACTTTAGATTATACAATAATCATAAAAAAAAATTAGTTTGGGTCATGAAAGGAGGAGATGTTTGCCGTTTAATTTCATCATTTGATTATATATTATTGCTCTTTTTTTTAGTTATGCAGCTCCTGAACTTTTTCAATGTCTTCCATATTCACCGGAAAAAGTTGATGTTTGGGTAAAGAAAAAAAAAAACAACAAATCTCATTAATAAATATCTTTGTTTTTATCATAAAAATTTTAGTCCCTTGGTGTTCTACTTTATGTATTTGTTTGTGGTCATTTACCTTTTGATAGTAATAATGTCACTGAATTACGCAAACGTGTTCTTGCCGGACAATTTCGTTTACCATTTTATCTTAGTTCAGGTAAAGAAAAAAATTTTTATTTAAAAATATTTTTAATTTGTTTTGTTTTGTTTTTTTTTTCTTTTCAGATTGTAGTTCGTTAATTAGTCATATGTTAACTGTTGATCCTGAACAACGTTATACAATAAATGATATTAAAAATCATTCATGGTTAATGTTAAATAATTCAAATATATCTGATATAACATCTCAAACACAATCAATACCAAATAATCAAGTAACAAATGCTATACTTGATCATGCTGAATCACTTGGTTATAATCGTACACAAATATTAAAATCAGTTAATGGAAATTCTTATGATAGTGATGCAGCTATATGGCATTTATTATTAGAAAAATTTCAACAAACATGTCAAATAAATAGTAAATAAACATTTTTTCTTTTTTTGTTTGCTTATTTGTATAAAGTTTTTTGTTTTTAGATTCTCATATTCCAAATAATGAAATAAATCATGTAGAACTAGATGAATATCATAGAGATTTAGTTTATTGTCCATCGAATAATGTAAACAAATATTAAAAAAAAAAAAAAATTTGATGATTTTAAATTTTTATTTAGAATGAAACTCTACATTCATGTGATCCAGATATTCATATTGATGATTTAGATAATTATACTGATGAAGAAGATGATGATGAAGAAACAACAAGACAAATACATGATGAATATGCTCAAACACATGGTTTACGACGACATACACTTGTTCGACCACATTTATTTGTACATAATGAAGTTAATCCAGCACTTACATCCTGCGTTCGATATGCTTATCAAACAGCAAATATTGAACCATCATTATTAACTAATCGACTTAATCATCTTCAACAACAACAACAATATGATACATTGATAAGACCTGATGATGATAATGATGAATGTTATTCCGAACCACAAATATCAATTTATCATCAACGAAATCCACATTCAACAAGTTATAATGGTCTATCTGTACAATCAACAGTAGCAGCTGTATCAGAAAATTATTATCAACAACAAAAAAATAATAATTGGTTATCACCACCAATATTAAATAATTTTCGTAAGTTATTTAATAAATATTAATAAATTAAAATTTTATTAAACATGAAATTCTCTTGAGATTAAAATAATAAATTTAAATCATTGTATAAATCAAAATGAGACATGCAATATTATTTAGATCAGAAAATTAAAAATAATATATCACTACAATAATAAAAAAGGCACAGCATGAAATATTTATGTCATTGAGTTTATATTTTAAAAAAAAAACATCTTCAGGGTCAAAATGTGATATAGAGAACATTAATAAAGTCTCAGCTGGAAATAAAATGTCATCGAGATCAAAAGCAATGAAAATATTTAAACAAATACTCTATCAAGAAGAGAATAAAATGACATATTTGTTGACATCTTAGCAATAAAACAAAAATATTTTTTTATATAACGACTTACGGAGAGAGAGAGAGAAAAAAATATTTTATTCTTTTCTAATAGATTTAAATCGACGAGCAAGTGATAGTGGTGCTCATCTACTTCTATTTCAACAACAACAACAGAATGTAACTGGTTCAAATACAATTCATCCTGTTCAATTCACACATATCAAAACTCCTGTATCTAATGTAAACAACAATAAAAAATAAATTAAAATAAAAAACAAACAAACAAACTATTATTATTTCTATTTTCTAGCAATCATCACGAGGTAGTATTACACGTGGTGCACCAATAACACCACCAATATTTACTATGACACCACATGAAACTAATGAACATGATGATGATGAAGATGTTGAAATACTTACACGGTTAGTTATCATTTAACTATCTTTTCCTGAGGATAAAGGCTGCGACTTTCTATTATGAAAATTTGTATTGTTCCTTCAAAGAGTAGTTTCTATTCCGAACTAGTTTTTTTTTTTTTACTGAAATTTATATAGAAAGTTAATTCACCAAACAAGCTAGCATGATTATAGTTGTTTTTGAGTTCGAAATAATTTGATTCTATTATTTCAATATCTCCAAAAGGTCGACTTCTTCGCTACGTGTAGATTAATTGTGGAACATCAAAAAGATTGAAATATCAGAATCAGATCATTTCGCATCTAAACAACACGATTCTCAACATCATAAATTATCACTACCTAACTGAAATTTCAGATGATCATAGATTAATAGGCTTAAATGAAAGGATTCAGGAGAACGAATATAACTCTCAAATGGAACCTGTAGAAATCCAAGGAAAAATAATTTCAGAATATGACTTTCGGAATTCTTTACCAAGGACTCATCTAATTGATCGACTGCTAACTAATCGAAATTTGATATATTTCGATGGTCTCGGATCTCCTCTATTCAATGCTGAAAACCGAAGATCTTTATGATAGTTCTATAAAACTTTTTCACGGTCTTCTGTTTTGGAGGAAGAAGTTAACAAATACACAATTCATTGATATTTATTTTAATTTATAGATATCTTAATCGTGGTAAACGTCATACTGTATGTGAACAAGGTTTATTACTTGGTGGTAAAACACGTCGTGGTATACGTGAAACAGCTAAAGATCGTAGTTCATTATCACGTCGTGCTAGTGATACAAGTTCAAATTTTATAAATAGTTCAACAAAAGCACATCTTGAAGGTTTATATCATAATGCTGTTGATTCAAAATTACATCGTGATGATGATGTAACAACATCAAGTTTACAAGAATTACATCAACTTCAAAAACAAATACAAAAAGTATATATCTTTATATATTAGAATAACAAAAATTAGAAAAACAAAAAAAAAATTATTTTTATTTTAGTATTCAATTAATAATAATAATGAATCACCTATAACAATTCGACGAGGATCTGGTATGATCTCTTATTTTTGTAAAATTTATTTTTTATTTTTTTATTTTTTGTAGCTGTTCCATCTCCAACAAATTCAACTATACTTCATATTATTCGAGAAGAACATCAACAAAATCCATTTGTATCAATGAATAAACAAACTAAATCTTCGTCATCATCATCATCATCCGAAGGATTATATAATCTTGATAAAGATGAATATGAAATGGATTATGATGTTAATACTCAACATTTACAACCACAACTAAAACCACAACAACATTTCATTCGTCCACCTTATCGACTTCATCGACCACCTTATCATCCTCGAATACCAGCATCATATTATTGTAATATGAATCCTCTACATGCTCAACATTTAGCTATGCCGACGACAACTTCTTATATACCATAATCTGATTGTTTTGTTAATTTATCACACCGGTGATCTTTTTTGTTTTATAATAGTGAATCATTTTTTTTTTGTGTTTGGGAGGGATATTCAATCTCTTTAAATCATAAACTCATGGTGAAGATTATTATTTGCATAAAAGATTCATACTTATTTTATGTATATTTTTCTTTTTTTGTTCTTCTGCTTTTGTTGCCTGCAAAAGTCGTTTGAATAGTTTTGTGTTTGTAATAAATTCTCGCTTGTTTTCGTTTTGTTTAATGTTTTTTTTTTTTTAACTTTCCATTATTGTTTCGTTCCATATGATATGCTTCTTTGAATGTACAAAAAAGACAAATGTGTGTATGGTTTTTTTTCCCTTGTAAAGTGAAAAATAATGAAAACAAAAAAAAAAAAAACAAAAAAACGAATATTTACTTAGTAAAAATAACATTCCAGATGCGTCATAACTCTCATACATGTAAGTAAACCTTTTTTTCCCTGTTCTGTCCAACCATCATCAGATAAACGTCAATGACAAATGTTATTTCATCATAGATCGAAATTATGTAAGATTCTTTCATAATTTCTTGAAATAAAAGTATTCCTTTTTTTCTCATTTCTATATTGTAATAGTGCATCGAACGTTTTGTAGATGCTTAGCAATGTAGAGTTACTTCCTATGTATTTATTATCAGATGCTATGGATTGTACAAAGATTATTTCAACAAAGGAAGATATTAATTCACATGATTATCAATCAAATAGTTATAGTAGTGATCAAGAACCTAGTCTTGATGATTATGTTATTGTATCATCTTCCGAATCAATAATTAGTATTGAGAATAATAAGTAAATTAAATTATTTTATTTATTTTATTTTTCTATTTTATATTATTTAGTTCTGAAGAAAAAATTTTGGTAGAAGAAGAAGAAGAAGAAGAAGTAGATGATTTAGATTATTTTGCTCAATTTAGTTTTCCAGATGATGATAGTGATTATGATTTAGAATATGTTTATAACAATGATAATAATGATGATATATATATAAATAATCATCTTAATCGAAAACAATTATCTTTAGCTAATCAATTTGAAGAAACAAATTATCAACGTTCAAAACGTTCAAATAAAAAAATCAATGCACGTTGTCAGATTAAAACAAAACATGCTAAAACTATTAAAATTAAATCACATAATAAACAATTATATATGCATCATCGATTAATTAAACGTGTTAAACTTGATGAACCAAGTCGAAATTATTTATCATCAAATTCATCAACTCCATTACATTCATCTGAAACTTTACGCTCTTTAGCTTATGAAGCTCGTCATCCTGAAATATTTTCTAATGATCAAAAACAAAAACCAATTCATAATAATAATAATAATAATACGTCTAATGTTTCACATCAATTTCGAGAATATACAATCAATGAACATAATCTTCTACATGATCCATCTTTTGATGATGCTATGATTAATTTTCTTCTTGACATGCAAAATCGTGATCTGTAAGTATTATAAAAATTCTTTTTTTTCTAAAATTATTATCTTCTGTATATTTAGTTCTCCGAATGATTATGAAATGTTATTAAGACTTGATGAACGTGTACAACGTAAAACAGTTGATGTACATATTCTAGATAAATTTCCAACATTGGATGTTAGTGACATACATTTAAATGATCAATGTACAATATGTATGGAAACATTTACTCTTAAACAAAAACTTAAATCATTACCATGTACACATATATTTCATGTCCATTGTATTGAAACATATTTAAAAGAATTTTCTACACAGTGTCCTTTAGACAATCTACCGTTAATATGACTGATAAAAGGGTTTTATATTTTTTTTAAACTAAATGTACATGTAAGATTTATATTTTTATATTTAAAAAAACAAATGTTAGATACAATAAATTTAGAGATTAAAAAAAAATCATATCAGAAATCTTAACATAAGTCAATATTTGATATAAAGAATAATTAATTGCTGACATGAAGTCGTGACAACAAAATAAGAATGTGCTTTATGATTCTGTTTAATTATTTTCTTGCTTTAGAAATGACGTTGTCTATAGCGATATAATTACTATAAACAGAAATAATTTGTTTACAAGAGAATTATATTTTTGTTTTTTCTAAAAATTTATAAGAACGTGTTCATAACTATAGACTAGTAAATTCTTGTCGAATCTAAACTCTAAGTTGGCCATTTCTATTTTCATAATGATTTAAATTCTTAAACTTATTTAGATTGAATATAAATGATGACGAAAGTAAGAAATCTTTTTTTTTAAACCTCGTCTGATGAGGATCTTATGCCATCTCGTATATCATTAATTGCGATGATTTGTTTGCGTGAGTTTTTTTTTTTACTAAAGATTTGTTTCTCGAGAAGAAATCAATTACTAAGTATAAAAATCATTAAAAGAGACGTATTGAATTTAAATACATCGTAAGTATTTGTGTAGAATTCCCTATAGGACGATTGATATAGATGTTGATTTTAAATAAATAAAAGAGATGTACTGATGTTAAAATTCAGACTTAATGTTTATGAATTCCAATTAACTCTAATGCAAAGTTTGACAATAATCATAATTTATTAAAACAGAAGACTCACCTGTTTAATCTTATCAAGAAATCTGGCAGAACAATTAACGAAATTAAAAAAAGTGATATTTGAATAGCACATGGTAACTTGTTCGACCTGTTAGTAGTTCTTTCACATTTATTGAAGTTTTTTGATTTCAACAAATGTTTAATATTCTTTTAGAGATAAAAATCGTCTACTTCATTTTTGAATGTTAGTTTTATTCAAATAGATTGTGTTTTTTTCTATTGAAAATTAGAAAATCTTTTTTTTAAAAGAGTATCATCATGTAGGATTCTTTATTTAAGAGCAACAAACATTTTTTCATAGATGTCCCTGTTTAATATTCGTTCCCTTATTTAATTCTACAAAACTAATATTGATTTTAGATATTCAAAAAACTAAAATATAACCTGTAGAATTTATGTTTACGATTTTCGAGAAAAATTTCGTGAAATGAATAATTTATTTTTCATACATACATTATTTTAAAAAATGGCCTGATTTACTTTGATTAAGATATGATAAACCTATCAAAGGTATAGTATCTATATGTCAGGAATCATCGCTCTCTAACAGAGAAACTCAGTTTTCCCCTCTTACAGACGTTTGATCTTCCTCTTCAGCCTAAAATCCTAGTTCGACCACTGCTTTCTAACAAAAGTTTCGTTATATCTGATAACTACGCTTTCCATGTGATAACTATCGAGCAACTATCACTAGTATACCACTCGATATAATGTGCGCTATACTGGCAACTTTCTTCTTTGAAACTGTTCTATGATGGTGTATTGGATCGAGATGAGGTGAATATTCTTGAAGTCAGTTAAGACTGATAGAATTAATTATTACAACTAATGATAATACCCTCTGTATTTCAGCTTTCTATGTGTTGTTCAAAACCTAAGATTGTTTTTGTTTATCAATTTTTTTATATTCTCGACCTGATGCGGTGGAAACGGAACTTGTTAATTTTAAAAACAATTAATCTATATAGATCAGATTTTTTTGTCAGATAATTCGTTAAGTTTATTGTATTTTGGAAAATATGATTAGTTTTAAGATATATTGATAAAGTGTTTGATCAAAACTCTAGATTAAATTTTCTTCAAGCGATATTTGAAAAAACATAGTAAAATTATAATTTATTTTGAATTATAAATGATAAATTTAAATTTACATTATTTTCTCTTAGTTTCAAGAAGAACTATATTTAGTGATGGTCGAATATAAGAAAACAGATCATTTTTATTTGTCATCTACAATAAATTTATTAGTTAATAAGACTAAAAACTTCCATTAGAATTATTAATATCGTTATTATTTATATGACAAATAAAAATATAGTATTTCTACTTGCAGCATTTGTTCTAAGTCTGATCTTGAAGTCTTCTGAGTTCCATGAATCTCTTCAAGCTTTCTAAGGATTCAGTAAGCATTTCGAACTGTCCTGCAAATCTTTCAAGTATTGAAGGCACTTTAAGAAGGAACCACTCGAACGAATACTTGCCATTTGACCTCATATTGGGTTCATGCCCATGAGCCTCTGGATCCGAGTAATGACTGTTTTACTGAATCTTCGATCCAGCTGTAAATATTTACCGAAAATCTAAATAATAGTATTTTGATCTGAAATTTTGCTTATAGACAGGTATGATAACTCTGTGAATATTCTGAAAGTTTCAGCAGGAAAGAATTTTCTTTTGTTGTGATATTAAGTTTCTAAAAAAATGGTCATTTGCGACAAACATTGAGTTTGCTGGAAAATTTAACAACTTGACAAATGAGTATTCTTTTCAGTTGATTATTTCAGGTTAATATAGTGTAATTTAAGTTTTCGGTAAATATCGAAAGATGCATCGAAGATTCAATACAACGGTCATAACTAGACTCCAGAAGTCCATGGGACGAATCCTCTTAGAGCTTTTTTAAGTCTTCTGAGCACGATGGATCAAAAGATTTTCTATAACTTTTGAAATTTCTCTTTTACAAAACACAAATTTAAAATTAAAACATGTTCTAGCTCACAGTTTATTTTTTTTTTTCAAATCTTTTAAAGATGAATAATTTTAAAATGATTTCTCTACATGAAAGAATTGTCAAGGTTATGGAAATAAAAATCATTATTTCAAATACATGTTACTTGTTACATATCGAAGAGGTCACTTCTAAATTTGGATTTATATTGAAATGAGAAAAAAAAAACTCATATCAATGTTAAACTTAATGCTTAATAAGAGTAATTGAAGTTTATAGGTAATATTTTGTTGATAAAAATCTCATTTAAAAAACATTTCCTTCTCATTTCCTATGATTGTCATGCAAGCGAAGATATTCAATACTATTGTTTCAGATGAAAGTTTATAGAGAATTCTTATTGAGAAAAGTTTTTCAATGAATCAACAATCTACAATATAAGTTCAATTTCGTAAAAAGAACAGAACAAATTGTAATAATCAAACTATTTTTCTCATACATCGAAACTTAATTTTTCAGTAGAAAATGTTAGAGAAACTTTATCATATTCACTGCCTGTTTTTTCATTTCACTTCTTTCAAATAAAATAGAATTTATATAATGATAATATAAAAGTTAATGAAAATTTCTACTTAAACTGAAGATTGAAAAAAAAATTTCAGTTAATTCTTTTTTTATCGATATATAAAAAAGTATTATAGAGTTATAACAATTCAGTTTATAATAAGTATTTTCAGTGACAAATAGATTTCAAAAGGAATTATTATAAGAATACATAGTTGTGTCTTCACTAGAATCACTATATGTTTATATCATCAACTAACTTTTGATTAGTTTTCATTGGAAGGAAAACTAGATGGAAAAAAAGTCAAAGAACAAAAAAAAGAAGAAAAACTATCGAAGTGGAAGAAAAACTATGAGTTGTTGTTATTATCTATTTTCAAGCTACTGCTGATTAAAAGAATAAATAAGACTCCACAATATTAAAATATGCAAAAAGAACGATCAATATTTTTATATTCTAAAAGTTCTTCTCTAACATAAAACAATATTTAATATGAACATAAAAGTAAATTAAAAAGGTACGAATCATTAAGAGATTTGATAAATGTTATCAATAAATGAAACTTTTGTGTCTTTATTTGACAACTCATCATCAATCGATTATGAACATATGTCATGTATTATGAACATCAAACATTGGTTACTCGTTCATTTTCTCGTTACATCGCTTATTGAAGCTGGTCTCTACATTTATATTATTTGTCCCTTATTAGTTATTATTATACTATTCAATCATTCTTTCTCAAATCGTTTATTAGACATGATGGATAATAATCATCTATGGTTATTTCAACCAAGAGAAAGATATACATCTATTATTTCTTTATTAAAACAAGAAATGGTAGTGATATTCACATATGTACTTTTTGCTTTTATCTACAAATGGCTTGGTTTAGTAAATAATAACTATACGATAACATATATGAACTTTCTTCTTTGGTTTATCGAAGGTTCATATGCTCCGCTTGCTAGTATTGTGACTTTGTTTGGGTTTTATATCGGACATATGGAAAACTATTTGTATGAATCATCATATATTATTGTAGTGATACTTAAAATATCTTTGTTCATCTTAATGCGTTATTCAGAAAGTCAATCTGATTTTTTTTCTAATGATATGGAAACGCTTTTTTTCTATATATTATGCTACTCGTCTTATGAATAAAATATTAAAAAATTATTTAATAAAAGAATGTCTTATATATTTTTATGTGAAACTTTACATAGAATATAAATAAATTCATGATAATATATAAAATAAATGTCGTCAAAAAATATTTCACAATAGAATATAGATGGATTGTCGGTGTGCGTATGATTGAATTAGATAAATAGGCGAGCATTATACTCAGCTATAGCTACACTTCCGACATGCGATGTGAATGAGGTATTTATACATTTACATGAATCAAGTTACCATATCTGCAAAACAATTAAGAATGTAGCACATATTTAATATATTGATGTTTGATGAATTTGGTTCAAACGTTTCCTACGTATTTTAAAAGCAATAAAATTGATGTTATCGAACGAATTTTATTTGTGAATCGCTAATAGCAAGACAAGATTAAGAGTAGATTTACCGATCTATCTTCAGTAACGTGTATTCACTCGATTGAGCGGGATAGAATCGAAGAAAAACAATGTACCTATGTATATAATGGTCTGTAAAATAATCAAGATAATCATCT